TGAAGACCACAAGTGTGTGTCGAACTTTTCATTACCTGATGGGACACACTTGTAGTGTTGTAAAAATGCAAGTGTTTACACAGCTTTATTTTAATTTTAATTTTAAATACTTTGCATTTTAAAATCAACTTCTAAATGTATGTTCGGTAGTCCCTATATAACATGACATAATTTTAATTTGTGGTGCTCCTAATTAAATGATAAAAAGCAGTTGCAAATGTTGTACAAAATAAATATCACCACAACTCATCTTTGCACCAATAAAAGTAAAAACACTGTTTTTCTACCAAATTATTTGTAATATCTAATTATTATATTAATATTTAACTTACATTGGAAAGGTTTCCGTGACCTCTCGCGAGATCTCGGCAAAAAGTCTCACAATTTATTTCCAGAACATGATGCATGATGGGATACACTTAGCCTTGAATAGCGCTCTGGAGTGGTATTCGAGGTAGTGTGGATTTAGTATCCATTAAGGGCACTGCATTTTGAAGACATGGGACAGACTTGCACACTTACTTCCTGTCGCGCGCACGCGCTCTCAAGTGGCCAAGACCGCAAGTGTGGGTATTTGGACAAGGGGGGACAGTTCTGACCTCTCGAAGGGAACAGATACCAACGAGATCAAAGGCAGATATTGCGTTATTCTCACTTACATGCGGTGTTGCTAATAAACACGATATAATTTCAGTTCTTCACCGCCCTCTGACACATTTCTTAACCAGCATGCATCTTGCGGTGATCAGTTCTGCGCAGATTTTGCTCATCTCAAACAAGCCTAAAGACAGTTTTAAGGTAGCAGTCTATTCAAGCCATGGAATAAAAGAATAAAAAATTGAATTTTTTTGTTTATATTTAAAGATTCTGACTTTTTTCTTGCAATTCCGAGATTATATCTCACAATTCTGGTAAGAAAAATCAACTCGTCATTCTTTCTTTTTAGTTTATAATCCCACACTTCTGGCCTTTTTCCCTCAGAATTGACAAACTCGCAATTGTTGACTTGAATAAAGTTATAAAGTCCGAACTAGGAGATATAAACTTGCATTTGCAAGAAAAAAAGTCAGAATTGTGAGATAAAATAGGTAAATGTTATGTAAAATGTTATAGGTTTAAATGGTATTTCAGGCTTTAACTGTAGGGCTAATACAATATGTCCCCTATGTTAATATTATATAGACCTATTGTTTAAATCAAATCTATTCTTTAAAAGTAGGGTAATCACAGCAGGTTTCATCTATAGTCCGTCCGTTTAAACGTCTGCGTTTAGCTTCAAATGGTGTCTTTGACGACAGTATTATATAAAAATTATTTGTATTCCGATTCTGACATCCAAAGGCACAACAATATTTTTTTTTCTCTTATTCCATGGATTTTACCCGTTTCCCTCCACTTGTTCCCAGTGTTTTTCTGCCACCACTATGCGTGTGCAGCTGCAAGTGAAGTAACTGTGAGGTTTACTCCAAATTGGTCTATAATAAGCCATTAGAGGTTGCCGTGACAACTGATTGGTCTGAGATAATAATCTAGTAAACTGTGATTGGTGAGCGGTAGAGGCAGGCACTATAAAAACACAGTTAAGGGCTTAATAATAAAGCTACATGGTTGGGTGAAAGGTTTTTATTTTTTTTTACTTCTTGTAGTTGTGTTGAGGGTAGTTGATTGTAGTTTTGGCTTCATATGGATACTACTACGATGCGATTTTTAAGGTATGTTTAGTTTATGGGTTTCCTAGTTATTTTTTCTAAGATTTACTAAAACA